TCTTGTCTCTCTTTTTTTGGTATAACCGCTCGGGATGTCAGTGATACCCATCTTTTTGATCCTCGCATGGATGGAGTTTGGAGTCAACCTCATTGCTTTTTGCATGCCTAGCGTGGCGTTTTGGAGATTTCATTTTCTTTGGTATTTTTATTTGTTTTAAATTTCAATTATTTTCCTTTGTCAAAAGCTCATTTGTGTTACTTCTGTTTGTGTTCATCTCATCTGTGTATGCAATGCTTATTAAGCGAACGGGACGATACGTTTTCGTTCATGTGTGATGTAATGGGGCACTCTCATCAGACATTGGCTTCTTTAGGCCGATTAATCTCTGCCCGCTGTAGCTCAGGGGGATCGATCGAGCCAACTATACATAACGTCATTCAACATCTGAGCATCTATAAAACCCATTTGGGACATATTCTTAATGCTTTCTACTTGTTTGACAAATTCTCCGTGATTTATTGCCCAAGCCACATTTATTGAATTCACATTTCACAATCAATCTTTGCCGTATCTGCATAAGCCCCAAAAATTCCCAGCAGCAAAGGAAGGTGAGTCCTCATTTCTGCAAAAGCAACTGAAACAACAAACATGCATATTGACATTGAAAAGAAATAAAGCAAGAACCGAATAAATCGGGCGATGGCAAAAAGCAATGGGCCGCCTGGAAAGGCATGAAGCTCGCCAAGGAGTATGAGAAGCAAGGAGGAGGTTATGAGAATGAGGCTGGGTCGAAGAATGAGCCTAAGAAGGGTGCACTAGTCGCCAAGAGCGAGAGCAAGAAGAAGGAAATGGAAGAGTGAAGGTGTGTTTGCTGGCTGCAGATGAATGGGAAATGCAAAAGGCTGTCGGTTTTTGTGTCCTCTGGCTCAATTGGTTCAAAGGATGCATTGGTGGCATTGGCAGTGACACAATGCCATGACCCCCCAGACTAGAGGACATCACTAATATCACACTGGACCAATACATGAGACCATGATTAAGATGCTGATTGTATGAAGCGAAAACTGGGGATTTGGGGGTTCGTCCCATGAAGGTAATTAAGATTATGGTGGTCATCCGCTTGGCTTCCCGCCCCTCAAACTATCAAGCCACGGGGCCGGGTCTTGTCTGTTTTACTGGACGGTAGATTCCGAGGTCAAAAGAGCAGACAAAAGTACCTCGCTGAACCACAAGAGATAAAATAAGGGTTTGAATGTGATATCTTGGATATACTACGCCTCCACAGCACGCAATACTGAGATGTGACAGGTATGCCGTAAGCCAACCTGTATCCTTTTAGGAAAATTACATCTTAACACACATGTGTTTATATGTAAGTTTTTTAAAATAAATCTTTTGACCTACAGCATAACCAATAGAAAAGTAAAGGTACCAGCTGAGTGAGAAAAAAGTCACACCCAGCACCATCGCCTGACCCGTGAGTCTGGGCGTTGCGGCTGACATTTCTGCCCCCAATGTGTATTTCTCTTTTTCAATGACCAATACTAGTACCTTCAGGAAGGCAAGAGCCCTTTTCAGTTATGTGCCTCAGGGCAGACTCGCATTTAACTACTTTCGGTTATTTTTCTCATTCATTTTGATCAAAACTGCATATTTGCGATAAGGCTCGGACTGCCCGCCGAGGAAGTCATCATCAGCTGCCAATGCCTTTTTTCCACACGGCTTCGCCAATGTGCCCCTCTCTGTGCCTCATAATGGGCCACGCCTTTCTTGTCTCTTGGTGTTCTGGAAGTATTTTTGTTCTTTGATTCCCCGCCCTTGTCGTCGTCAATGTCTGTCTGTAGACTCTCAGCTCTTTCTATTCAGTCTCACAAAAGTTGAAGATCGTCAATATGACTTCACCGGGAGATCTCATCCCTACCGGGGAACCATTCACAGAGATTCCTTATGCCGTTGCTTATGATCCGTTCATGGTGAGTAACACACCCACCTACCGCAAAGACAGTTTCCAAATATTGACGAATTTTGTCAGGCCTCAATCTGGACAACAGCAGCCGTAGCACTCCTCTTCGTCATCGTCCGAATCTACGCCCGCATCCGAAGTTCCGGCCAATTATTCCCCGACGACATCTTTGTCCTCCTTGCCTGCGTCATCGTCTTCATCACAGGATCCCTCTGGCAATGGGTAGCACGAGACATGTACATCCTGCTCGAAATCCTAGCAGGCAACACACAACTCCTAGAGCAACTCCTCGCCAGTGGCAAACTAGTAGCAGTCATCAACGTCCACGCCAGCAATCACGTGTTGCATTATGCTTGTCTCACAGCAATCAAGTTATCTGTTTTATTGTTTTTCAGAAGACTAGGCGGGTATCGAGTTGATACGGTTAGAAGGATCTGGTGGTTTCTGGTGGGGTATGTGCTGATTGGCTTGATTATTACGGTTGCTTGTACGCCCTGGAAGTGTTTTATCAAATCTCCCGACAAGATTATTGAGTTTACGATGGAGTGTAATGCGCCGGATTATCAGGAGTTTGTGAATAATGTTTACAAGGTCAATACTGCGTTGGATGTTTCTTCGGACTTTTTTAGTAAGTTATTATTATCATTTCCTATTAAGGATGCAGATGCTGATTGTTGAACAGTCATGACCGTCCCAGTTCTTCTTGTATGGGATCTTCACATACCACTCAAGAAGAAATTGGCTTTTGTGGGATTATTCTCCATGACGATTATTGTCATGGTCATTGCGGTTGTACGACTGGTCGGTGCATTCAGCGATGGTCACATAGATCCGACATTTGCCTTTCTTTGGGGTTCCATAGAGATGTGCATCGCTACGATGATTTCCTGTCTTTCATCATTTCCGCAACTGTTTATTTCGTCAAAGAGCAACAAGCCAGCCTATAAACCCTCGGAAACATTTATCGAACGTGTCAAGAATAGGGCGATGGGGAGGAAGAAGGCTCCTTCGACACATATGGTTACTGATGAGTTTACGGGGATTACCTTGCATGATGGGAACAATTACGAGTATGTTACGATGCCAGAGAGCACAAAGTCGAGAACTTCAATCCGTCAGCCACATACAGAGGAGATACCGCTTGATGGTATGCGGCCGCAGAGTCCTAATGGCGGAATAATGATGACTCAGGAGTATCAAGTGCAGAGTTTTCAGAGGGGAGTGTGAGGATCAAAGGAATTGTTAGGCGAGTTGGGTACCTATTTATTGGGCTTCTTGTATTGTTGCTTTCACAATGGCTTTGTCTGGAACAAAGACCGAATTTCAGAGTAGTTCTTCCAGTAGTAACTACTCTGTTGTTTCATGTACTACTGTACACTGTAGTGTCCGAATACTTTCCACCGTGACCTGTCTGTATCTGACTCAATGAACCTGTACCACTGTACCGTAAACAGCACTTATGTTTTTAAAATACCTACCGACTGCGCTACCTCTCGGCGAGCTCCGCAATAAAACAACCCAAATGTCTCGACTGCGAATTCTATTCCTCACCACCTAACCACACAAGTCCAGACTGAAAGTCCAGGCTATTCATCAACCGTGCCGTCGAGAGCTTCATTTCGTAACTTCCTTCATTCACCTACCTAACTATTTTCATCCAAATCAACGCAGCTCTCACTCTCACACGAATAACTATTCTCATCCAAAGCGACGCAGCGCTGCCCAGCCTGGAAATCCTATTCGCCAACCGGTGGCCGAGAGCTTCATTTCGTAACTTCGTTCAACCAACTATTCTCATCCAAAGCGACACAGCTCTGTCCAGATCGAAAATCCTAGGTATTCACCAACTGGCGGCCGAGAGCTTAATTTCGTCCACCTAACTATTCTCATCCAAAGCGGCGATTGCAAACTCAATTCCTCAGGCCACCACCTAGCCGCATAATTCCAGATCGAAGGTCCTTTTCACCAACCGTGCGGTCGTCGAGAGCTTGACTTTGTAACTTCATTCACGCAACTATTCTCATCCAAAGCGACGCAGCTATCACTCCAGCTATCACTCCAGCCATCACTCCAGCCATCACTCCAGCTATCACTCTCACACAAATAACGTCTCAAAATGGCTTCATCATTGTCAACATCGCAAACCGCTTCTTCCTCCTCTACACAAGATCCTACAGATTCCACTACCCAAGCCGCGTCCTCTACTAGCCAAACCCCATCCACTGCAACTGCCAGCACCCAAGCTCTAACTACAAACACCGAAGCGACTCCGACTCCCTTTACCGGACCGCACTACCATGTAATTTTCTATACGGACTACCATGTATACAAGATAATCCGCCAATGCACATATTTCATTGACCCTGCATGCGATTGCGATACTGAAGCCGGTCATCCAGCCTGGGAGGAGCCAGCCAAAGAATCTTTTATAAACGAGAAATCGCCTCAGACACATGTCTGTAATCGGGCTTGGTGTGAGCCTTGGAGAGCGGCTGTTCCTGTTGTCCAGTATGAGGAGGAGGAGGAGAAGGGGGCTAGTGACAATAGGGAGGGAAATGGTGAAGAGTTGGCAAGGGCTACTTAAATAAACAGGTAGTCAATCTTTGGCAGCACGGAGAGGAAGTCCGATACTTGGGGCTACCTATAGAAGTCGCTGATATGTGGAACTGGTTGGAGGTCAGTGGGAACACAGCACGATAAATAAAATAAAGTCACCACTCTTGAATCGTATAGATATCATGCCCGTGAATATAGGTACCTATGAACTGAATACACGAGGTTTTGTTTCCCCGGGCACGTACCGAAAATTACTTTGCCCCTACATACTCATGAAGGCGCCTCCGGTCAGCAAGCAATTTTTAGCTAAGTAGAACATGTAATAGCAGTGCCATATATTCAAATATTCTAAGTATCGCATCATCTTCTTTACCCCCGAAGCAGCCTTAGCAATAATATATAACACCCACCAGTGATATAAACCCAAACAACCCGCATCTTCCAAAAGAACGAAAATAGTTTCCACATCGCTGCCGTTTATCAGTTCAATTTCCACCGCAGGTCTCCAACAATGCACTTTATTTCGACCCTCATACATGCCCGCATGGCTCAGTGGTAGAGCGTGTCACTTGTACTTTCATCAACATGAAAGAAAATAGCAATGATAAGGTCGCTAGTTCGATTCTGGCTGTGGGCATCCCGGTTCTTTTTTTGTTTTCTAACTCCTCTACTTCCCATGTCGTCTTGCTTGTTTTTCACTTGATGATAGATAGTCAAACACGGATATCCATCCATCTATGCAGTCAGGCAGATTTATGGCTCATAATAAAAATTCAAGTCACTACAGAAATTTCACTGAGGTATGTATGTATGTATCCCATTTCAAATGAAACGGGATTTTGATCATAATACAAAAAGTCCATATTCCTCCATCCAATCTAAAGATCCCAACCATTATACGCGAGCAAGTTATTTGTGTTTGGCGGAACCCCAGTCAAGACACCAGACGTAGCGATCGACTTGATGTAATCACACAGTGTAGCCCCATTCAATGAGCTTGGAAGTCCAAGCAAAAGTGCTCCAATCCCAGCGACATGAGCCATAGCCAGCGTAGTCCCCGAAAGCGTATTCTTAAATCACCTCATCAGCATCATCACGTCACTCACTTATACAGTAAACAAGAAGATAAACTCACCGTCCCCCCATTAATCCAAGTGGTAAGAATCGTAACGCCCGGAGCATAAAGATCCAACAACGGCCCATAATCATTAAACGACGCTACCTGATCCGCAGAATTTGATGCGCCAATTGAACAAACTGCCGGCGCTGAAGCTGGAGAACCTCCTACTTGAGAGTTACTGCTTCCTACTCCGGTTGTGACGAATATGCCAGAGTTTACCAGGTTTGTAGCTGCGCTGTTTAGGGCTGCGGAAAAGCCTCCGCCAAAGGTGAGGGCTGCCACGACGCCGTTGGCACAGCCCCTGGTTGGCCAGTCTGTTTGGACAAAGTTGAGGGCTTGGATTATTCCCGAGCTGGTTGAGAGTTAGTTTCACCGTGGTACTATGCAATGAGAATTATGATGGTGTGAGGGAGGTTGCTCACGTAGTTCCTGAGCCCGAGTTATTCAAGACCTTGACGGCAACAAGCTTTGTCTGTTTGGCTACTCCGTAGATGGTTGACCTGATGATGCCGGCGATGGCGGTTCCGTGACCGTTGCCATCTGTTGTGGTTGCGTCTACAAAGTTGGCTCCCCAGACGGCACCACCGGCGAATTGCTTCAGCAAGAAATCGTAAGTCTGGGTTTAACGAAGGAAGATTTGTCTGAATGAACGTACAGGGTGGTTAATCTGAATCCCCGTGCCAAGGACATATGCACATGTTCCAAGCCCCGCTGTGCTATCATACTTGTAGACATTGGAACCGAGAGTATGGCTGGAGATTCGAGCAAGGTTCCAAGGGGGATTAAGTTGGGTGACAATTGCGCGAGGAGAACTGCCGGTCTTTGAGGCGACCTCGCCGTCTGTGATGGTCACAACGGCATCTTCCTCGACGTATTCGACTTCGGGAAGGTTTCGAACTTCTTCAAGGGATTTCGAGTCTAGGGAACCGGCGAAGCCCTTGAAGGCACCTTTGTAGACATGAGTGGTTTTGACTTTGCCAACGGCTGCGCTCAGAACGGTCTGTGAGGTTTCATCCTTGAATTTGACAATGTATTGACCTGGGATGACTTTTCCGGAGCGGGCATGAAGGAGAGGAGCACGTTTGTCCAGTAGATGACCCGAGGGAGCCGAGAGGACGAGCGGCAGGAGGGACAGAAGGACAGCAGCAGAGAAGAGCATCTTGGTGAGGAATGGAGTGAGGGCCTGGCCCAGTTCTATGGCCATGAGAAGGCTCAGATGCAGATATTTATACATGTGCATCCTGATTTCAGCTGAGACTCAACAGCCTACTCAAAATGTCATGGGCGTGGGGGATTGCGGGATGATGCGATTTCCAGCTGCAATATAAGTGTTGTCCACCTTCCCTGTTTGGTGTTTTTGATGCAAGTCGCTGCATACCCCCAAACTCCAAGTGGCGTTGAACACAGCCATGCTCAAAGGTGAAGGTCTATGTAGCTGCCGAATCGAAGCAGACTAATGATATGCCGTGTCACCTTGGCCCTACTTTACAAGCTTCAGGTCATCTTGGCAGATAAAGTCATTTTCAGGTTGAGTGAGATGACACAATTTATCAGAATTGACGATAACGGCTTTTGGGTTGTACAAGGGGGAAAATGGGGGAGGTGCGGGGAAGTTGGGAATGAACAAAAGTATCCGTAGGGAGGTGTACGTATTCCGGATAACCTCAAAATGGAAAGTAGCAATCAATGTTGCATAGTCATCATTGCCTGGTGCTGGCGGAGATCTCCGTGGCGTCCTGGTGCACCAAGACGGTTTGACAGCGGGTGTAGGCGAATATTCGGTGGACGATATTTTTGGTCATCTCCCGGGAGTGAGGTGGTTGGTTTCACAAGATGAACAGGAATCTTGGCTTTCCTGGAATCGATGCGGAGAATTATTTTATTCGTCAGAATGATTGCACAGTTTTCGTTGCATGTGTGGTGATTGAGCAAACACTGCTCAAAGTTGTGCGAGGGACACGTTGAAAACGTTTGCTTTATTCTCAGAAATTTAAAAGATGGGAATTTCCCCTGCGTATGTTTGTAAGCATCTTTTTAAATTCATGCAGAAGAGCTTTTTGAGCTCTTGGAAAGCGGACCATCATCTTGGCCCAAGCTCCACCTCTCTCCACTTCTCCTCCCCCCGGGCAGTCGAGCTGCCCTGTCCCCACCTTCCCAGGGTCCCGCAAGTGTTGCTGCAAGAACGGGACCGGGAGTTGGGACTTGACGACAACAACAAGGGAAACTTTGGGGCCTGAAGTTGGGAGGGAAAAAAGAGAAGGAGCTCAAGATTGAGGATCAGTTTGGGAGGATTTTATTAAGGTATGTGTTAATGAAGAAGTTATCCATGGGAACGGATCTTTCCGCAATTCTTTCGTTTGTTAGTTGCCCCGCGGGCCGGACTCTTTGGAACGAGCGGAAGCGGTTGCGTCAGGACCAGCGTTGCCTGCTGTTGGCCATTGAGATTGAAAGCAACAGCACAGAACACAACAGACACAGACGGCAGCATCCAACATACCCAACATCATTGTTTTTTTCATTCGCATTCTTTGCTGTTTTTTTATAACTTTCATCTATTCAAAGACAGTTAATCACTAACGTCAATTCTCCATCCAAAAGTCGTCAACGGTCGTCCCTCCATCTCGAGTCCCGAAGCCGGCCCAATCCGTGTCGCACGGTGCACTTTTCGCTTTCCTCGCTGCCGATCGAGACTCTCAATAGAACATCGCCGCGTCTGACAAAGCGTTTGCCTTCGGGAGGCGACATGCGAAGCACAAGTGTTGCTGACCACCGAATTAAACCCACATCCGCTTGCGCCGCCGACTTGCTCTCCTCTTCCCGACCCCTCTAAACACACCATCACCACCACACCTGGTGTGCGACAATGGAGGAAAATATAGAGTCGCTGCCGAGCGCCGCCGCAGGTTTAGCTGTGTCTGGCGCCAGCGCAGCTGCCTCTTTTCTTGCAGGTCTGGTTCCTGGGATAGACACCATCTCCCGTGCGACATCACCAGGGCTCCCTTGCGCAAACGGCCAGGAAGATGATTCCAAGCGCTATCGCCCCCGTACCTTTAGCTACTTTCGCCTGCTACCATTCGATGTTGAAGACCAAGCTCAGCGAGATGAAGCTCTCCGTGGCATTCTCAAACACCTCTACATCGCCATCATGGCCGAGGATTTCTCGCCGGGCGCACTACATTGGACTCGAGAGCTACAAGGGTGGCTGAATCTCAAGTTCGAGATGACCAGGGACCTGAGGGCGAAGCTGGCCAAGCTTTATTTTCACCTCGCTTTGGCACCTGGTCTTGACCCAAACACGGCAGACCGATTCTCCAGGATGGTTATTACATTGACGAGGTGAGTCCTCTTTGTCCAATCTGCAAGACAACCACTAACAGCTTGGCCTACAGAAAGAAGCACTACTTGAAGCCTGTTGAAGATCTGACTTTCGATTGGCGACCATTATGGAAGGAAATCAAGTCTATGGTCCTGCCTTCCGAGGTCCCAACTCACCAAGGGAGCAGGAGAAAATCTTCAAAATTCTTGATGAAGCTCTGCTTGCATGCCAACTCGTATTTCGATCCCAAGGAGCGTGGCCCATTGCTGGAGGAAATATTACCTTACTTCAGCACTTCTGCCATGAGCAATGCTTACGTTGTCGCTGGTGCACTCAACATGCTCATTCCCACTGGACCAGGACCGGCCGACGACCCATACTCTCAGCCTTCAGAGTATCTGCCCACATTCTTCCATCTCTGGTGCCTAATGACAAGGTCCAAGTCGTTCGACATCTGCCTTATCGACATATTTTCACGCATGGCAAGGGACTACATGACCTGTCCCGACGTGCCTTTCTCAGAATACGGCATCTTTACCCGCGAGCAATCAGATCTCATTTTTACAGCAATTTTGAGATTAACAGAAATACCTGTCGGCCAAGCCAACAGCCCTTACTCATCACTAGACTACGCAGCTGGCCTTGGAATTTACTTGGAAAAGGACAAGAAAAAGTACCCAGTGCCTTACATGATTGCGCGGTGGATCGCTCACTCGCTTTCTCCGCTCTGCCTCGAGCAGGAGAATTCCATCATGTCCAACCTCGAAGGATTGATGGAATCCATCGACACGTTTTTCCACCCCTCAAATCAGGGATCTTGGACCAACTTTCTGGCACAGCTCACCTTCTTCTTGACTGACATTTTTGTGTCTCGTTGGAACCGTGAACAGAGTGGAGAGCTCAGTGTTCCTCCGGAGCGAAGGATCAACGAGGCCTTGAAGAAGCGCTTTGTGCTCTCTCTCAAGGAGGTCACCTTCATGGGTCTTTTCGCAAAAAGCTCTAAGGTAGTGAATTATTACTATTCGACCCTCCAAGGACTCGCCTATCTGGAGCCAGACTTGATTCTTCCTGGCGCCCTGCAGCGCTTTTATCCCAGTCTGCAGGGCCTTGTCGAGGTCCACCGAACGACATCCAGCCTTTGTGGTTTGCAAATGATTGCCAACATCATGTCAAAACACAAGGGATACAGGTGTCACATTAC